TTACTAAAGTAATTGTCTYCATAGCTGCAATGATTGTGAAGGAATTATTTGTGAGATAGTCAATTGATTCACTGTGGCAGTGTTTGGAAACTTAGATGATGTCTTACATTATAAAGAATTATATCAAACAGTTACACTCTCTGATTTTAATTAAAGATGGAAGTATTCTGAAACCAAGTACTAGTTGTTTACAAGTGAGCTCTTAATGTAAAATTGGAATAGAGTGTGCATTATAATGTGATAATTRGAGAAAGTGTACATATTTGAAAAAGAAAAAAAAACTGAATAATTAATAGTAAATTTAAAARCAATCTAGCCTATGTTTTCCCCATTTTTTTTCTGTCTTGAATGTCTTTAGCACTTCTCATTAAATGAATCCATAAATAGTACTTCTTTTTTTTCCCCTAAATGGAGGACAGGAGTTGAGCAAAGAATGAATTTATTCATCTTGAAAATTTTGCCAAATTTAAAAATCAGTTTTGATGAAGTATTTTCTTCATATCAAAGCAAAAATGCTTAATTAATCTTTCTGTCACACTTTTTTTTTTGATTATGTCTCATTTAAATTAAAATAATATAAATCAAAGTTCAGCAAGGGTTATTTTTTGAGCATTTTTTCTTTTACAGGCATCTAAATAAATGGTCAGAATGAAATTAATGAATGTCATGGGAAACAATTTTCTTTACTACAGAATGAAAGGTTGGAAGCATGATCAGGAACTGATTTCTTAAACAAGAGGAAGTACAGTTTCAGGCAGGTAGAAACATTGTAGGACTTATCTCAATGCATTACTAAAATATATTTTAAAAATGATTAGATAAACAAGCAGAGTAGAATGGATCAGTGACTATTAAAAGCAGTGATGTGGTTAAGCTTTTGCTCAGGGAGTCCCTTAGCAGAGAATTGCCAGAAGCAGCAAGTTGAAGAGCATGTACAGGCAGAAATAGCACTTTTTATTTGTCCTTCTCTTTTACTTTTCCCTCTTATTGGCTATTGTGAAAAAAATGCATTAGGTCTAATGGATTTTTGAGTTTGCACAGTTGCATTCTTAAGATATGTAGCATTTGTGGGGTCAAAACGCTCTCAGATTGATATTTTCCAAAGTTTGTTTTTTGCTGAAAGTAATACACGTAGAAACAATGTCTCCCAGCTGTAATGGCAGCATGGGAAGTGAACAGCAACATTTGAACACTAGTGGTTTTACCAGTGAACAGCTACACTTCTGCTGTAGAGCAACAGGAATGTGAGTGGAGTTYACTTCTCTCTTTCCTCTTTGTCTAGCAGATAAGGCACAGATTAACTTTCAAACTTTTGSTAGGGCTCTGGAAGATGGTGTTGTTCTCACTTAATGGCAATGGTTTAGGAAGTTATAGACTTCAGCCCCTTCCTTTCACCCTCTACTTAAGGTGTCTGCTCTTTTGGTATCAGCAGGAGTGCATTTATGCTGSCATCTTAGATCCTGTAGCTCATAACCTGGCACAAAACCATAAATCACCACCATTTTCAGCCAACAGACAGGACAGTACAGGGGTTAGGCTGTGAACTACAGCATTCCAACCTTCTGTTGGCTGTGAACTCCAACCTTCCTCCATCCTCACTATGGCACTGTTCACCTTTGGCTGTACAGGCAGAAATCTCCTCCACCTCCTGCAGGCAGGATTAGCAGAGCTCATGTGCTGAAGTCCACAGCCCTTGAAAGAGCCCAGAGAGAAACTCAAGTTCAAGGGAAGAAACAGGATCCAGATGAAACAATCACGATGTGAGACAGATATAATTAAGGCAGCCGATAAGGATGTGCCTTGATAACAAGTCATGCTTCCTCTTATCTTACTAGAGCAGCCTAATGAGAAGCACAGCACCTGTACCCAGAACAGCAGCTTTCTAAAAAGGGAAAGGAGAAAGAAATGAGAAAACAACTGGCAAGGCCTTTCCCTGTAGCCTCTTCCTGTCCAGTGAATTCATGGCGCTTTACTAAATTGGTCACGACACTACAAATAGGCAGGAYAGGTACCCAGCAACCAATTTTTCGCTATACATTTTACACTAATCTATTTATAATAAGGCAAATCATTAAATTCTTGTTTTCACCAGATACCTCCTTTAGTGACAACACTGCCAGAAGGGAAAATGAAAAATTATGAAAGTATAACGAGACAAATGGATACAAACTTTCTGTTTATATCCTAATCCAATTTCATGCTTTCTGTTATAAAACATATGCAAACTATCAAGTTAAAATTATAGTCACTTTAGATTCTTGATTTTAAATTCGTATCTGCAAATACTAAGCTTTTCAGTGAGATAAGTACCTCTGAGTGTGATCAGAGGTGAACATGCTTCATGATTTTCAGACTTGTCCAATACTTTCCATGACTAACCTTTCAGTGTTAAACTACCTTTCCAAAATAATTTTTTGGCACTTGCACCAGAAAGTCYGTAAGGACTAGACCCTCAAGATTTCTGGTGTATGTCTCAAATTTATGTTATTCTGCCCAGAACAGACATCTTCAAAATTCTGCATAATCCTGATCCTGAACCTATCTAAAATTTGCAGGAATCTTGTAATTCCTTAAGAGATTATTCCCAGGTGCCCAGAGCCTACTTCAGGGAATGCTTTGAAGTGTCTCCACTTTGATCCTTCTGAGAGATGGGGAGTCAAGCATATCAAATTGAAATAAGAGGTATAAGTGTTCAACTACATAACAGGATTCTGTGCTATGAATTGGCATTTATGGCATGTGCCTAAATCATGAAAAATTGTGGGATTTTGCATATATCCCTCTCAGCCGCCTTTGCTACTGGCTTGGGAGGTTCCTTGGCTGGATTTGTGGAGGGATCTAGGTCTCAGGAACACAGAGATCTCACATCAGAGACCATGCAAGGAGTTAAGACTGCTAATTGAGAGTGGAGCAAGTGAAAATAGTATGTAAAAAGGGAAAGTAATATGAAAGAATTTATCTCACCTAGCCTCAGACAAGTCATTGAGGCCCTTTTTTGCTTAGGCCTTCCATCTAGCATAGAGTGATGCAACCTTTGGAGAATGACAAAGATCTTAGGTGGCCTCTGCCCTGAAACACCAATGTGGGCTTTCTTTTCAGCCCTAGCATGAAGTGCTAAATAACTGATTTCTGAGAAAAAAATATCCACAACCAGATTTCATCACAGTCTCTTTCAAAAGGGAGTATACAAGAATCCAGGAGACAAAACAAAACACAACAAAAAACCCCACACTTTCTCAGAAGCCCAGATAGTAGGCAAACTGCAATAACGGAATACTACTCTATTTATAAGTTTACTGCAGGTTGCTGACATGCAAGCCCACAATTTTCAACCAGTTACTTCAAGACAAGCCTAGCAAAGTGAACCTAGCCATTTTCAGTTTGTCTCAGCTGCTTAATGGAAAAAAAAAAAAAAGTAGCCTCATGCAGAGCATAAATTTAGTCATGATCCCACTCTTTGAACACTTTGTAAGCCACAGCTAATTAGTCTTTYCAACTCACACTGTGCTTCTGGATTACCTAAAGCCTCAGCAATGCACTTTAGCGGGATGGGAGGGTATCTGCAGAGGGCAGGAAAGGTCTTTCACAGCAGATATTAAAAAAAAATATGAAAAGGATACAAAACAAAGGGTAACTGATGCACRCATGTAAGTATGAATATTATTATTTTTATCAATTTCATGTTCATCACATTTTTCAAAGTGTTTATCACACTTTGTTTATCACTAATTTGATTACATGTTTATCACTGAAAATGTGCTTGACTGCACACTGTATTGTCCAAATATCTTGTAAATACTCATTGTATATAAAAAAGTTATTTCTGATTACATAATACATTTTTGAAATGTCCCATTAATGTCTTATGATTTCTGTACAAATACAAAGGAAACTGCAGCTGTGGATTACACTGAAATTTGCTTCTTACTTGCATGAATAAAATTARTTTTTTCAAGCAAGAATCCCCTTAATACAACTTTGACAAGTAGTGTCATTTCCAGCACCCCTCACTTTTCACAATGCTTTGGAAATCACCGTGTGAACTTATTTTACCAATAATAGTAACTTAGGTTGAACATACTAGAGCCGCTTTTTAAGCTGTCAGCTATCAGTTCAGTGCAGATATCTGTGAGTCAGGTTTGCTGTGCATTTGAACATATTGAAAAGTTCTTCTAGGTTAGGATGGAGTAGTTTCTAATTAAGACATCCGAACACATCGGTATCATTAGTATCAAAAAAGGACTTAGGAAACTGGCTGTACACATCAGAACAACACCATCTTTTCCTCTCATAGTTTCTGTTCCTGTGCTGTGGGAAACATTCCTGTTCCCACAGACTTGATGGGGAGAGCTGCAAAGAGCACAACCGTCCCTCTGCCCTGCCTGAGGTGGCAGGGGAGGACTCCTTCAATGCCCAGTGCATCAGGAGATCACAGGGTGGTAAAGAATCCTCTCCTGTTGCTTGAGTAATCCTGTGTTTCCTCTGCTACTTTCAGGGGTTCCTGACATTGTAAAAGTGGGGAATTTAGGAGGAGATGCTCTCCAGCAGATACTTTAAAATTTCACAATGATTTCAAGAAAGTAATTGAGATATATGACTCTGAATCATTCAYACTAGCATTTCAAAATCTTACAAAACTTGCTGGGTGAAGAGATGCACATGACAGCAAGAGATGCGTAGTATTGTCACACCAACTGGGCTGAAATTTGACAGTGTGAAATAATTCAGGCACTAATCAGAAAATTCAGGGCTGCTCTTGAAGCTGATCCGTGATGGTGATCAATTGGCTTTGAAATTTGGAACAAAACTGACCTGCCCAATTTTCTGGTCCTAGTTTAGGAACTCAAATCACACCCTGGGACTACACAAATCCTTTTAGTTTGGCCTTTGCAAAAGCAGAGAGGGGTGCAGGGGAAAAGGAGGTGGACGTAATTTCTGAGTTTTCAGTGATATATATTGTTTTGATTTCAGACGTTTACTAAAGACAGAATAGACCTTACCGTAGCTGTCATAAGCCTCTTCGCTTGTTCCGTGACCATAGTCATAATACTCAGGCACGCTGCAACAGATCCAGACAGTTATGTTACTACTAATGCAAATAATCAACACAAAACAAAAATAGAACACACAAAAAAAWGAAATGCACTTGAATACTTTTACATATAGCACAATCTAGCTAATTTCAGGTCTAATAATAGCTGAAGAAAACATGAAAAAAAATACCGGTGACAGTAACAACTACTGTAAAGTACATCACATTTCTTATCTACTAAGCAAAAATTGTTTCTAAATAGGTAAAGCCAGGACATGTGACAAAGATTAAGGATAGAAATTCTGTTTTCAAAAACAAGATCTAACATGACAATCCACTTTTTATTCACTGCTGTTAAAATACCAAAAGAGGTATAAATCTCATTTACCTGCAATTCCAAACAATTATACTGTATCAAATTCAGCAAAATTTATTTTCTCCACAGCTGATGTGTGGAACCTGTAAGCCACGTGGCTTTACTGAGAACACTGACAGTTCTTCAGTTTTCCTCCTTAAAAGAAAGCATGTTTCCAYTGCTTGAAAAGCGAACACCTGATTCTCCATAGCCACCTTCATATTCAGTGCTAATAAAATGCAGATGTAAAATATGCAAAGTGCAAGAAAGTGGAAAATCAGAGTCTCCATTTTTTTCTTGACTGTTTTTGTTAATCAACAGAGAACGTATGGTCATATTAATGTTATCTAAACATCTGATCACAGTTACACCCCGATAACCAGCAAATCCCAGCTATTACCCACAATGGGCATGCAGAAAGCTTTGACCTCTGAAGCATATTGGAATGGAAATTAAATTAATCACCCTTTTGCTTGATTGCTGTTAATATTTATAATTTTCAATCTGTATTTGGTATTCAGCGCCAAACTCAAGATCAGACTAGTTCAGTCTTGGGTACCTGGCAGACATAACAATAATCAGTCGCCACTCAGATAAACTTATAAACTCCACAGGTTTTGCTGTATTGTCTATCTTCTGTCTGCAATGAACCAAACAAAAAAGATAACACTTTCCATGTTATTTTGTTGTCACTTTTATTTCTTTTTCCTTCGAGACTATGTGAGATGGACTTTTGCAAAAAGAACAGAAACAGCCTGTTTGCACTATGTAGAAAATTATTGCTTTGGCAGTTTTCCAGATTGGATTACTGGGGGTATGAAATAAGGGTTTATACTTGAAACAGAAGCATAGTCAACAGAGAAGCATAAGTTAAAAAAAAATCACAAATATCCTAAATGGTCAGTATGGAGCAATTATTTTCTTAGACGAATTTTAACTTCTTTGTTCACAAACTTCTCATTACATTTAGCAGTTATTCATAGCTACTATTCCTAGAATAATTTCTGAGAATAATTCATGCGCTGTAGCTCACATGAGAGGACTCACTGCACATATTTGATATATGGCAGTCAAATTGTTTTGATTTGGGATACCTCCTTCCCTGTCTGGCTAGGCACAGTTCTTATCATCAGCTTGAACTGCAAATATTTGTGGATTTATAACAGAAAAATGCAACTATAATTGTTGCATATTAATTTACTAATTTAGCAAGCAGCCATTCATGTATTCCAATAGTACTCTCAGATTCACATCAAACAGAAAAATCCATTGGCTAACATAGTAGCAGAAAGTGTGTATAAGAGTGACTTTAATGCAAAAAGGAGTTAATTCTTTTAAATAATTTTTCCAAGTGCCACCTCAGCTCTGTGTGACATAATCACAATAAATCACAATAAATAATTATCTTCCAGCATAATATGAGSATTGCTGTTTGTCTGAAAAATAATTATCTAAATATTCGCACCCTCTCATTGAGTTACTGCAAGGCATTTTAGAAACAAACAGGAAGAATGCATCTGTTGTTTTGTAGATTTCTGTAAATTTGAGTACACTTGGGACTCAGTCCAAAGACCACTAAGTTAKCAGCAGCTGTCCTGCTTTCACTGGTCAGCAGGCTGGAGCTGTTACCATAAAAACAATGTCCAGCAAAATATAGAATTTGCAAGAGCAGTTAAAAACGCCTTGCTATATCATGGTTGTTGCATTCCTTTACTGGAGAAAAATACACACATAAACAGTAAGAATGTAAGATAAAAATCCTACATGGTGAACAYTCAGAAATTAAATGCATCCCATACACTATATATAGACTATATACAGCATTAGTATGCAAACCATTGAAGTAAGAAATAAGCCTGAGTGTTACTGTAAAAAAGTAATTTGTTGTACAGTGCAGTATGTTTTCTGTGAGCACAACACAGCACACTGCTGMAAATGCCTAATTCATAGCACAATACATAATTGTAGTCTAACTTCTCCAAAATTATTTCCTGAATAATAGACATTTTTGAGAGATTTGAGCTGCAATGTTATTTGAAATTCTTTATTAGCTCTTATTTTGATAGTGCTTTGGATAGTATCTAAGTTAAGCAAATGTATTTCTTGGAATGAATCTTATTTAYACTCACATTTTGGGAGTCAGGCTGCTCATTCACTAATCTGCTCTACTGCAAACCCTGATGAATATGTATTATGTGTAATCTAGTACATGCATTTACTTGTAAAAACTCTCCTCTGTTTTTTTATTAAGCTGGACAATGAATAATGCTGTACATAATGAAAGTTATTTTTAATAATTACACAAAAATAAGTCATATGAGTAATTCACTTTTATTAAGCCCAACTATGGAAGCAAAGAGTCAGCAAATAAATTAAAAATTAAAAATTAAAAAAAAAAAACAGAAACGACAACAACAAAAAACTTGTTTACATAATTTTGAAGTTCTCAGTTCTTGGAAACTACAGTGATCATGAGTTCTAGAAATCTCGAGATTTCTTGGTAGTGCTAATTGGAAACAAGATATCATTATCTGTCATTAGCATTCATTACTTTCAAGCAACATGAAGTATAATTTGCTCAAGTGCACGYACTCAGCTGAAAGCAGGATGTAATTTGTGTTATAAAACAGGTAAAATAGATTAACTCATTAACAACTTTTCATCTTTTATGCTTAAATATTCAATGTATTGCTCTGTACTTTATTACCAGGCTTCTGGAACACAGTGATCTTGATTTGCCAAGATTTGGACTTTAGTAGCTTTCTGTATTTGTCACGTATGAAGGAACTGAGATATATATAGGACTATGAATCTTCTAAGTTGTTTAATTATTTCTGTATCTCAAATGGTTTTCAACCTCAGAAGTTCTGAGATCATTTTTCTCTACCTAGATAAGTTTTTTAAAACTAAGATGTATGATTTTGTCCACATTCCTATTTTGCAGCCAAAAAGAATAATAATATGTAAAAAATATAACAATTTATCTATGTTTGCTTTTAATTTAATTGTTGGATTTGGTTAGTGCTTTTGAATCAGTTATTTTTAGAGATTTGGGCCAAAGATTCCGTGAACTCTTGATGTCTTCTTTCAATGCAGGTAAAGCTAGATCAGTTCTAAAAAAAAAACAAAAAACAAAAAACAAAACAAAACAAAAAAACAAAGTACAAAAATTACAACCCTTATGTAGAAGACAGGGACCTCCTGAGGTCTCTTTTGACCTGAATTCTCCTGTGCATCTATGATACGAGAAGAGCTCAAATAAAAATTCCCTATTAAACAGCAACTGGCTTTTAATTCCTCCTTAACTGTAACTTTTTCAAGCTGAGTTTAGCTAAGCAAAGCCAAATTCAAATGTGACTGTGCCAAGATCTAAGAGAAACCACACCACTTGTTATCTGAAAGGCTTTGCAGAATGGTGCTCTAACGTAGCTTCAGCAGAGAGCCACAACCAACAGATCAAAAAGTATGGCCACAGAGGCCTGATTTCTGGGGTCAGCAACAAGCAGTTGTTCAACCATTTAATTCATAATCAAAGAGACCAAAAAMTTGCAATGCAGCTTTGAAGAAGTGACTCTCAAGATACTTCTCTTCTTGTGTTGTGGTACTCACCAGTGCGAATGTGAACACTTTGTTTCATGAATTGCACTCTCTGAAAAAGGAATCCTGGCTTTTGTCAGCTTGCAGTCAGCATCTGTACTTGATACTGAAACATGGAAATAAAACTCTAGCTTCTCTAGCATCTCTGTTATAGCTGAGTCTGTTGCAGCTTCAGACAGCAGATTCTCAAGTCAAGTTAACACCCAGGATGATTTACAAGGATGCCTAGAAGTGGGATTCAATCTTTTAGACAAGACTTATCCTTTCTTTTTCCTTTCCTCAAATGAATGCTGTCTTGAACTCCTATCTTGTCTTATCTCTCTCTTTCTCATTCTCCTTTCTTAGAGTAATCCTTGGAGTTTGCAGCCTTCAATACTGGTAACTGATACAATCAAATACTCAGCTTCTACACTAATAGTATCCTGTCAAGACTATTTTCATTGCTTCATGTTAAGGTTATGGTTGTAAAACTTCATAAAAGAGGCGAGGGTCAACTGAACTGAACACATAGTTGGCCATGAAAGAAAAGCTGTTTAAGCAAAGCACCATGCCATCTCCTGGAAGACAGGTGAATTCCCGTGAAGGATAATATATACAATTTTTATAACTTAGTATTTCAGAACAATTCATCGCAGAACATGTAAATAAAGAAATAACCCTCCAAGGAATCTGAAACAACATTTCCACTTACAGATGTACATCTACAGGAATGATCAGAAACCCTTTGAATGAAGGAACTTTCTTAAAAGACTCAGCCTCAAATCACAAGTAGCCTCTCCTGAATACATCTTTAAAACTAATGGAATAATACAGTGAACGGTTTGGTAGATTAAATCTCTCTCTTTTTTTTTTTTGAAAGCTCAGGTTTAACAGAGAAGAATATTTCCCTTTACAGTAGTCCCTAGATTTCTTCTACAGATTGCAACATGCTTGAAGTTAAACTAGATCTCATCTGTCTTCAGCATTTCCCAATACTTGATTTCATGTTGCTGCAAATCTTAATTTTTAAAGAATGAAGTCAGTAGAATTGCATAAGCATAGGAATGAAGTAACATCAGATTGGTGAGATGACTGG